GGCGGCGTTGTCCACTCAGTAAAATGTGTAGCCAGCACCTGCTTCATGCAACTTACCTTGCTCAGCGAGCGGAGTCTCACTAAGTGCCACAGTTTCGATGTGGTAGCGCGCCAGTTCCATGGCGACCAGTGCACTGCGTCGCTCACTCGAGTTCCGGTCCACTAGTGTGCGCACGATCCGGCACCCGATGCTGAGTGCCTTGCGCGCAAGCATACGATTGCATTGCTGGACAATCGCAAGCAATGTGGCGGTTGTGCTTCGGAGGTTTGCTTGAGAGACTCCACCCGGAGCCTTCGGCTCAATAGCCTGACCCACATGTTAGCGGGTGGGTTGGAGGTTTGTTTGAGGGACCCCACCCGGAGCCTTTGTTTTACTATCCTGATCCACACGGCAGTGGGGAGCAGATCACCTCGGGGATGTGATTGCAGAGACAGACTGGGATCTGCTTGACGGCCGTCACATGCAGCTTTGAGGTACTGGAACAATCCATATATGTTTTGTGACCATAGTAGGATACGTACCTTTGACCACTGTCAGAGGCAGGTGAGTCTTGGCGGGTTTTCACCAATTTGACCAGGGGCTGTCTGACTTGAGGCGGGCGGTAACAAACCACTGAGTACCTGAAAGTGCCCTCCCACCGTCAGAGACAATGCGTGGCGCTCGTGCTCTACGCCAATCGAGCTGTGAGTTTATAACCCGTAGACCTGTTTTCTCCCATGGCTAGGTTTTAAAGGAACAGGGATATAGACCACTTCTTAACTTCAGAAGAGGATGGACTGGGATACTGGCAGGGCGCGCACACCTGACAGAAGAACGACTCGGGTACTCAGCCAAAGCCTTCGATTAAATGTACACCCGAAAGGCAGCGGATCTAGCACATGCTCAGTTCACTGACTCATGCGGATTGGTGTCCTGGATCTCAGCATCAATGACCACCAAAGCCCTTCGTGTGCAGTCGCAAATGGTTTACGGTGAAATAATTTGGTTACTGGTAGTGAAGTTAGTTGAGCGTTTGGTTGAGAAAAATGTGACTATCTTCTGCACACAACTATCGAATATTACGGATGCAACAGCAACAGTTTGCATTTGACAACTGAGTTTGACTAACAAAAGGACTTGGTGGAAACAGCAGCTAAGAAAGAAGTCTATATTGAGTTGCTTTGCAAGTGTGATTTCCCTAAACTGAAGATCACGAAACGTTTAATTTCTGCTACGCAGCGAAGTTAACATGTTGCTGAAGTGATGGTCATTAACCGAAATCTTACGTTGGCTGTTCCTCCGACGAAGGATAGGGGCCAAATGACACTGCACATACCAATTCGTGTGTGGCTGCGGATCAGTTACATAGGCAGAACTAATCGGTCTTTGACTTCCCGAATAAAGGAATATGTGCCGAAGTGAGTTCAACGTGAAATTGAATGGCATCCCTGCTCCCCTGAATCTTCATGCTCGCGCAGTCCGTAAGCTTCCACAACAGGTAGACACCTACTGGTCACGCGTCACCGGATCCAGCTCGGATCAGTGTTCACAATCGTGTTACGTCACTCTAATCCTCGCTTCCGCGGTTTCCTCGAGGCTGTGGCAATAAGTTGGATGAAGCCAGTCTTGTTCAAAACAATTATTTGTGACCTTAAGACTGCCATGAACATAGGGGTGGAACTTGCGTCATTCATTTGCACCTCAAAATTGCTTGGTCACACCCGTAGTTATTTATATAGTTGCACATCGGTTATTGTTAATAGAACTGACGAGCCAACAGGAAATGCATGCATCCACCAGGTTTCCTCTTCTTACCGCACTGTTCAAATTGCTAAAACGAACTAACTGTTTGAAAGCTTGTCTAGGTGCTTGAGTACCAATGGTCACTCTCCATCCTCATCTCAAATCTGAAGGTGACGGATACATTGCGACTGGAAGGAGGCACTCGCCCTGTCAAGTGTGGAGTTATTCTATGGACGACAAGCGCGTACACAACGAATCTGGACAGAAGGATTGTGATCATGGTTGGTCAGCAGAAGGAAAGATGGCAATCAAGAATCACTTGCCTCTAGTTGACATTCAACTAGGTGGATCGCAGTACGAACCTCATCAAACGTTTTATAAAGCAAATTCTGTGTCAAATCGACCAGACTAAACGACCGTTTCGTTCCCTTAGCAAAGCAAATTGTTTTTAGGTAAGTCTATCGAAACGCTGCGTTTCCTAGTTAGACGGAAACTGTGAGCGGGGTGATTTGCGTGGATTTGAAGAAACAACCCAATTGCAGCTTCGAGTGCAATGCGTATTACCATCACGACAAAAATGCGCCACATTGCATCAAGCGAAAAGCGGTCTCAGACTTTGCCAACTCACCCCATGTAAGATTTAACGGGACACACCCGAACCGGAAGTCAGGATGGGTCTGTATGCTCGAGATTTATACACACAAAAGCGCACAGGCAAACAATTCCGTCTCATACCCCCCTCTTCCTTGGAGTGGTCAGTGCAGAGTTGTCAGACTGGATACGCCTTCGTTGCGTAGCACCCGAACAAAACTTGTATTCTTGTTACAAATCTAAGATCATGACAACCAGAACACAGGTAATACTATTAGTTATAGATTAGCCTCTAATCGATCAATTCATAGAAAGCTCGTTGTAAGTTCCCATCCTTGTCCATCAGACAGATTAGCAGCGGATAGTGGGGTAGCGAACAGCAACATTATACAATTCCGCCTCGTCTAGAAGAATTGTTATGAAGTGCCGGAGTACAGATATTCGAAGACATCTGAACAGCCGAAGACAGGCTATGGGGATACACACGCAACCAGTTCCAGCAGCACAATCATGCGAACAAGCCTGTTATCATAAGTGCCTACATCACGTTTAGATCGTTCACTGCGAACTCTAGAACACACTATCGGCGATAGCTGCGAAAAGGCCCGTATCCCCAACAGTAAAGAAAGGACAGAACTGCGGTTATTATTCCCCTGAATATCATTTGTTCGTTCTACTCTTCCCATGGACATTTATCTGGGATTTTCATTCGAGTACAGTAAAAGGATTAGTCGGTTGGCAGACTAGCAACGTACCCCAAGTCCCAAAAGACGCCAGACTCAAACGTGGGACAAAACATAGACTCTGACCACATGTATTCAATGAGGAGAGTATGAGCCAAATCAATCCCGAACACATCACAAAGGGATCATGCTCGGTTGCTCAAACGAATTGAAAACTACCCTACAGTTGTCCTGTGTGCAGTCCAACGCATCGGACCCAAGGACCAAATGTTTCCGTATCTTATGAAATAGGTACAAGGTTCAAACTAACACACTATCACCATGCTTCAGCTAAATCAGGTAATATTCATGTTGTTCCTAGGCGTGCGAATTCGAGGATCCTATCCGTGGAATCGGAACATGTAATGAGTTCAAACATAATTAGGACGTGTCGGGACATTTAAGAAGGTCAAGGTCACACCAATGTACAAGTGATAACTCCATGATCGGGAAGTGTATTCAGTCGTTTATTTCTCCCGCGATCTGCACAAAAGAGATGAGACTAATTCCTACATTGGTGAATCAGTTTCAGTGCGTAACCGTTTATCGTGAAACGGGCGGTGCTTTGCAGTACGCCAGTTAAAACTGCCTGCACAGAGGCGCCACTTGACCATCGAATGCAGCAAGCTATCAGGCAGAGGTTAATCCAAGAGAAGCAGAAGACAGATTCAGTCAAAACCATGTCGATCACAAAGTTGAAGTAGAAGTCTCGAACCGTCTCACTTATCGCAGTGAATTTGGTGAAGGGTTTTCTGCAGACCAGTATACGACCGCGTGTGTCGCAACACGGCAACTTGGATTAACCTTATGACGGTTGAAGCAATCTACAGCCAATGGGTCAAATGTGGTCAATCACCTCGACACATAGTGCACACAAATTGTGCTCAGCAGGTGATTACATAGTGACCTCCGAATAGTTGACCGTTTCACATGAGTAGGCAGTGACCTATGTGAAAATAAACTCGATCTTCACTTAACAATGGTGCGCTTTTCCACGTGACCGAAATAAAAGAACGGAATCACCTGGTGTTAGCAGCATTCGACAGGATTAAAACCGGATGAAACGAAATGAAGTGGATCCGACTGTGATGGTTTACATCATATTTGTGATTACAAAAGCAGAAGTAAACGAATAGATGGACAAGGGGGGCCAAACATCGGGAAAAACAGAAATGGCCTTAGTGGAGGTTCATCACATCTAAACGCAGTCAGCCGGGGAATAAACTGTATAGCTGTTTCATTCATTCTGGAATCGACAGCGGTGTACAATTCATCTGGCCCCGGCGGAAGAAGAACCCACCATCCGAGCGTAACCAGTATACGGGACGGTAGCGACCGGGTCCAACCCTCAATGCTGAAGATTCCCGAAAGCATGAAACGGTTGTGCAATGCTTTTCCGGGCATGTGACGGCTATCTGATTGAGTGTAGATGGGATGAATTGCTGCCTATAACACTCAACACCCCCTACTACTCTTCTGTAATCAGTACGCAGACCAAACTGCGCCTAATGTCATAAGTTGACTAGCGGCCTATGTTTGGTAACTTCGGCGCTTGGTGAGAGGGCTACCAAATGCACTATACAGTAGAAACGTGCAATTCAGTGGATGGTAAAGAGAGAAGTAGATGAAACCCAGTAAGTCAGCTTGATAGAGGAGACAGCGGTCCAAAACAGAAAACCGAATGCCAGAAATACTTTGAGTTATTGTGATTGGGACATGCACGATGGAGATGATCACGGAGTCCACTATTTAGGGAGCAAGTGTATATCAATACGACCGAGACTCCTGAGGTTGAAAGCAAGACAGTGAATATTACAAGGTCAGGCAAACACATAATCACGGCTAAATTGGGGCGAGGGAGCCAACGGTTGGTTAGGCGATCGTGTGAAGCATGCGAAGCCATTGAATATATCCTCCAGGGTCCACACAACAAGCAGCATCAAGATGTGAACTAGGTTATGACGGGGGAGAATTAGCACTCACAAATTAACAAGTTGGAGATAATTCAAGTCGGCCAGTTATCCGAAAACCGTGACAATCTGGAGTTGCACCTCCTCGATTTCAAGAATTCCAGCAAAACATCCCTTGCAATCAAAGTGAACAAATATTGGAAAGATGCATTTGACGTTTTGCGTCACCAGAAAGCCAGAGAGAAAATAGAGCAAGAATACACGCTCAACAACATCACAACAAAATAGGTATGGTCCACTGAGACAGGTAATTCTTTCGAAATAAGCTAGACAAGGATGATGGATGAGAATTCCGGCAAAACATTGTAATATGTGGTCTGTGTTCCAAAGAGGATGAAAAATATCTGACAGTGGTCAAGGTAAGATGAAATAGATATCGTGGACACAGCACAGGACAAGGTGTTGGGAGTGTTACAAAGCGAGCCAATTCAAATCAAGAGGGAGGGCATGATGAAAGTAGCGACGAGATTGCACGATGAGGAGAACACGTTACTCCACCGGATGGAGCTCCAAATTCACCGATTACTTGATATGATCCAGCGCATTATTCGTTCAGAGCGCGATGTTCAGGAGAGACCTCTTCAACTCGACGATAATTCGGATGAGTGATCAGGAAATAGACTAGATAACCGAACAACACGATGCAGACACCGAGGGCATTTCCAATCATCTCCCGAGGAAGGAATAGGCTGTATCTGTGTATGAAAATTAGACAATCCTGTTGTGTCAATCAACGTCCGTCAATCAATCTTAGTACAAAAAGCGGAGCATAAAGTTTAGAAGCATGTATAAAGCTGTACGTTTCGGTCGTGCTCGTTCATATACCAACCAGGTTTGTGAAGTTAATAAAACAGGACCCAAGCATTGTAACGTAATGGACCAGTTGGTATA